AGTGCAGACTCAGGTAGCCGATTGCAGATAGATAGATCTCTAAGTTAATCTGTGATTCTGTGAGCAACTCAATCTGCCTGCCTGCTTTGCCTGCTTTGCTGGCTTTGGGGTAGAAGTTGCTCTTTTAAAAAAATAAAAATCAATATTTACATACATGGTGTGTTTTGAGTTAACTTTGTGAGTTTGCTTGCTAGCAAATTATATGAGTTTGCTTGCAAGAAAATTTTATGTGACAGATTCAGATAGCCGATTGCAGATAGATTCTAAGTGAATCCGTGATTCTGTGAGCAACTCAATCTGCCTGCTTGCTTTGCCTGCTTTGGGGTAAAAGTTGCTTTTTTTAAAAAAATAAAAAGTCAATATTTACATAAATATTTATAATATTTACATACAAGCCATGCCCAGCCAGTCACATGACCACCAAGCCACACCCACAAATTAGGCTACACCCACAGAACCGGTTAAGAAATTTGAATCCCACCCCTGGGGCAGGGGTGGACCTGGATATAAGGAGGAATTCCCCACCAGTGAGAATGATTACCCAATGGAACAGCTTGCCTCCTAGAGTTGTGCTCCATCGCTGAAGGTTTTCAAAAAATGACTGGACAACCATTTGTCCGAGATGGTATAAGGATTCCTGTCTTTGTTAGGGGGTTGGACTTAGAAGACCTCCAAGATGCCTTCCAGCCCTATGATTCTGACTAGCTGGCCCTGGGTGTTACTATTGACTGTTGAGATAATTGAAATCCATCTGGGCTGCTGGGGGTTCACAGCTCCTAGCTAAGATTCTGCACAGTTCGGAGACCCCCCAAATCCCACTCCTGGCTGGCCCCTCCCACCCTGCCCTGCCCCTCCCAGGAATCCCCATGCGGCCTGTTTTGGATGCAGGTAAGTGCAGGGCGTGAGTGGAGGCTTGGGGAGGGCAAAAAACGCGCCTCCCGGAAGTTCAGGAAGGCCAGAAGTGGGCCTGTTTCTGGCTTCCAGAGAGCCTCCGGAGCCCGGGGAGACCATTTTCTCCCTCCCAGAGGCTCGAGGAAAGCCTCTGGAGCCTGGGGAGGGCAAAAACACACACACACCCTGCTGCCATGGTGCAGGAGGCCGACTAGGCCATGCCCACTGTTATGGGCAGCAGGTCCTCACCACCACAAGTGGTGCTCTCTCTTTTTGCCTCAGGAATTGCCTCCGTTCATCAGCATCCCATCCTCGTCGCCAGTTTTGTATTTGGCGCGCTTAGAAGAAGAGGCGGAGGCAGTATAAAGCTCTAACAGGCTTTACTGCTAACTTGTAACTCAGCTGCGGCTAGCTGCGGCTTGGCTCACAGCAGCAGCTGAGAGAGAGAGAGACAGCTGATTCCGTTTGACAGCTCCTTTTATACTGGAGCTGTCAAACAGTCCAGCCAATCAGGGACTTTCCCGGCTCCAGCTTAAACAGCGGACCGGAGTGAGGACTTGCTGGCCATAACACCCACCATGGCCACGCCCACCCAGCAACCAGGCAGAGAACCCTGCAGACTGGAGAAGAGAAGGGACCTTTAACATCTTTGTCATTCCTTTGGGGATAGGCCAGATCAAAAGACGCTGGGGCATGGTGAAAGACACAGGTATGGCAGAGATCCTGGGAAGGTACTGCAACAGAATTGTGACAACCTTTTTACTCTATATAATACAAAATCAAGATGGGATGGGATTTCTTTCTAACGCTTCCTTCTTTCTCTGGGACTGTGATCTTTTCTGCCAGACAATCTCCCCAGCCCTCCTTTTTTTTTAAAAAAAAAAATGGCTCATCCCTTCCTAAATCTTTCCTATCTTCCCCAAGGTATTTTGGGTGGGAGGTTGGACTAGATGACCTACAAGGTCATCTTCCAACTCTGTTAACATGTTAAGATCAGCTCTAAATTCCGCTATACCCCCTTTCTTGCATTTCTGTTGCACCTTCCCTCCATAATTTTGAAGACAGGAAAAAAAAGAGGGTGAGTAAATATGTAACTGTAGTCCTCAGCTTACGACCATAATGAAACCCCAAATTTCTGTTGCTCAGCGAGATGTGTTAAATTAGTTTTGCCCCACTTTACGACCTTCCTTGCCACAGTTGTTAAATGAATCACTGCAGTTGTTATGTTAGTAATACGGTTCTTAAGTGAATCTGCCTTTCCCCATTGACTTTGTCATAAGATCTCAAAAGGTGATCACATGATCTAGCACACTGCAATTATCATAAATATGAGTCCGTTGCTAAGCACCTGAATTTTGATCATGTGACCATGGGGATGCTGCAACGGTCATAAGTGTGAAAAACAATCCCAAATCACTTTTTTTCAGTGCCATTTCAACTTTGAACGGTCACTAAATTAATGGCTGTAAGTCAAGGACTACCTGTATCTCATTTTGCAGATGCTTTAAGCTTGGAAGTCAAGAAAAGTAAACTTCAAAGTAACTCTCCTTTCACAGTCTTTGCTATATTAAGAGCCCAGGCGGCGGTAAATCGTTTACAACAGAACTTCATTCAGAGGCGCTGCCAAATCCATAACTTGATCCAAAGTCAAGGTTTGTGGGACAGGCAAGATCTAAACAGAACCTACTTTTGTATACTATGCATATCTTAATATTTACATTATACACCATAATCTGGTGTATGAGTCCTTAAGAAAAGCAGAATCAGTACATTACACAGTCACTTTTGTGATGCTGATTCCTGCATGCAGCATCTGTTCCACTGGAATGCTTCAAGGTGCCGAAACCATAAAGTAGTAACATTTGTCATTTGTTGTGAGTCTATGTGCTAAAATATTCTTAGTTCGCCCAAATCTATAGTAGCACTATTCTCTGTGGATTACTACTGAATTCAATTATCTTAACTTGCTGAATTCAATTAATAATGCCAGGATATCTTGTATTATCACCTTTCTTGTGTTTTTGTGAATAGACTCTATTAATATTGTCATAGTCACTATACTTTGTGCAGGTCATTTCGCTGATCTTACTCTTTACAATTCTCTCTTCTGATCAGACGTGTATGTATACTCCTGCCACAGTTGTTAACTGAATCACTGCAGCAGTTAGGTTACTAACACCGTTGTTAAGTGAATCTGCCTCGATTTTGCTTGTCAGAAGATTGCAACTGGTGATCATATGACCCTGGGACACGGCAACTGTCATAAATATGAGTCAATTGCCAAGCATTTGAATTTTGATCATGTGACTATGGGGTTGCTGCAACAGTCATAAGTGTGTGAAAACCAGTCATACATCACTTTCTTCCAGTGCTGTTGTAACTTTGAACGGTCAAAATAAACTGCTGTAAGTTGAGGACTACCTGTAATTTCATACAATGTTAAATTAAGAGATTCAAAACTCCAGCAGGAGAAATTCCATGTGAATTACTTAATAAAAATATTTTAAAACAATCAGCCACAGACAACTGAAATAACTATTCATATTTTCCGAAAGTATAAATACAAAACAGTTTTCTAATAATTAAACCATATAAACCAAAAGAGCTTAGAAATTGGCTCGTGCTTTATATTATATGTTTTAGAATCACAATAAATACATTCCTCATTTAGATGTCTCAGGTTTCATTCTTTATACCATACAAAAACAGATTTTATTGCTACTCTCCCTAAAAATTAAAAGGAGCCTGTTTGCAATCAAGTATTCTCAACAGACACAAAACCAAATCCACGTAATCTGCCGATCAAATCATCCCATTTTAAAAAGAAGAATCCAATCAAACAAGAGTGGCAAAGGATAATTTAAGCAGAGCTTTAAACTAAGAAAGGATATAATTTAATACTGTATGCCGCAGTTATCATTTTCCCAAGGAACAATTATGAAATGTAAGAGATTTAAAAAAAAAAACTTTGATTTTCTTTTTTCTTTTCTTTTTTTTACCCATGCAAGGATTACAGATAATGTTTATGTATACTCATATGGTTTGGAAGGAGCGAGAAAAGGGGCCTGGCCTCTTAAAATGGAGTTCTCCTTAATTCTCTGCTTCAGTTCCCTTGTGAAGCATGTAAGGCTAAGATCACATGCTCAGCAAAAACGCCGTTAGTGTTTCTCTAGCTCAGCCCGCAGGGCTTTGCACAATAAAATCTGTCAAGAGAAGGAAACCAGATGGAATGTGTAGTCGGGGCCCTGCTGTATGTGCTCCAACTCAACACAGATGGGCTTTGCAGGAATCAAAGCTCAGCTGCCTGTATACACACAACACCTACACCCTCCCACCCACCCCATACAAACATACGTCGTCCCCCCTTCCTTTTCTTTGTCTTGTCGGAATGAAGTCCCTAGAAAAGGCTCTAATAAGAGTCTTGGGGTGTATACACGCACACACAAACACACACACACACAAACAGAGGCTACCTTTCCTTTCTCTGCGCTGCTGAAAGACAGGCGTCTCGGCTTGCCTTAGATTTCACCTCGAAGTCCACGTCTGGACGGGTGTCTCGCCGTCCAGGCTGTCTGATTAAGAGAACAGAACAAGGGGTGGAAGGGACCTTGGAGGTCTTCTAGTCCACCCCCTCCCTGCTCAAGGAGGATACCCTATATCCCATTTCAGACAAATGGCTGTCCATCCTTCCCAAAGACTCTCATTGCTTCTCCCCCCGCCCCCCACTTCCCGGACGCTGGAGATTTCTAAACTTGCCAGTTGCCCTCCACTACTCCTCAGAGCGTACACGTTCACACGCACACCCGTTTTAAAGGGGGAAAAAAACCTTGAGCTGATTTTGCCCCCCAAGCATGCCCTCCTCCTCCCCCCTCCCCCCGCTGCTGCCTGGCGTGCAAGCGGCTTTCCTGTCCTGTCCTTTCCCCGCCGCCGCTTCAACCGAGGCAGGCTCTGCTGTTTCAAAGGGTCGCCTGCCTGGCTCTGCCTCGTCCCCATTGGCCGGATGGGGCCCTCCTTCCTGCCGGGGCTGCTGATGTCAGCCACGCTCTCACACCCTTCCTAAGCTTGCCGCCGCCGCCGCTCCTGCTGCTGCGGCAGAACCTCCTCGGCGCGATCAGCCACGACCCGGAGCGACAGGCTCTCCGCCGGGGCGAGGCCAGCCCCGCAGCCGATCCAGGGACCGGGCGGACGCCGCTCCTTCCTTCCTTTCCTTCCTTCCCTCCAGCGCTCGGTCGGAGAGGACGGAGGGCGCTTGTTTACCGGGCGGAGAAGGAAACGGTAGCGAGCCGTCTTTTGTCTTGGAAGGAAGCATCTCCTCGATTTTCCCGGGGTCCGGGAGGCGCGCTTTGCTCGCTCCAGCCTCTTTCGCCCGGACTTCGGTTTCGGCCAACATGTCTTGAGGTTGCGGCGGCTAAGAAATGCCTCTGGCTGGAGCAGTCCCGGCGGATGCCTTTGTATGATCGCCGCCGCCGCTGCCGCCGCCGCCTTTGGCTCCCGACCCTCCTTCGGCGTGTGCATGTTGTGAAAGGCAGCAGCGCTTGACCGCGGTTCGAAGCTGCCAACCTGGAAGATCGGAGCAGAGCATCGCGGCGGTGTTTTCGCCGTCCTTCTCCCCGGGGGCTGGCTCAGCCTGCTGGATGGTAGCAGCAGCAGCAGCGGCGGCGAAGTCTACGGCCCAAATTGCCAAGCGGGCGACCTCCGGGGCGCTGTAGACCAGCGGCGGCGGCTTTGCCTTTGCAGGATCGGGGGGGGTGTCCCGTGGTTCGCGTTTCTCCTGAACTGCTGGTTTGCCTTGAATGTGTCGGAATATGCTCATGAAGGAGTATCGGATCTGTATGCCTTTGACAGTTGAGGAGGTGAGTGCGCGTTGCCTAATACGGGCTGAGGGGGATCGCTTGAGGAGGGTGCCTTATGCGAGGGAGAGGGGGGATCGTCGGCGATCCAGTGACGGCTTTTCCACGGCTTTTTCTTTTTATTCCCTGCAAATGCACGGAGGGGAGCCTCGTTCCGCAAGAAGTGTCAGGCACAGTTGCATTAGAATCTCCATTGGCCACCCAGCTTTGCTTTGGGGGAAAAAACAAAAAGAAAGAAATACCTTCTCACACACATACCTTGGGTGGCTCTGATGTGGGCTGCGGTTAATGTAAGAATGCATTTGGTGAAAAAAAACAACAACAAGTTAACAAGAAAACATTCGCGCGCTCTCCCCCCCCCCCCCCCCTTTTCATTTCCCAAGTTTATTTAGCTAGCGATGCATGGCCGTTTCTATGATTTGCCTTCTTTAAAGAGGGCTTTGCCACTTTCCAATTACCTAGAATCAAGTTAGCCAGCCTTTCTTCGAGGGATTCGGCTTAAGAAGCAATGCGTATCATAACATGTGCGCGCTGCGCTAAGGTGCCTGAATTGAAGCGGGTGGCAAACAAGCATGACGGCGGAGGAAGAAGGACTACATACAAGGGGCTGTTCGTGTGCAGAATGCAACAGGTTTCGGGGGAGGGGGGTGTCATACCAGCTATAGTTGTAATCAAACTGATACGGTGTAATAGTCGCTTTACTGACATAAAGTTTGGATGTTGTTTATACCGTAAAAACTTCAAATTGTCTTTCTCTTTCTGTTACCCTTCTCAGTTTTGGCTGTGAAACGGAAAGGCTGCAATCTGAGTCGGAGAACCGTTTAAATTTACATTTGCTGCCTTAATGGCAAAGCCAGTCAATACATTCAAGTTTCTTTTTCGCCTTTATTCTTTTGGCGCTGCCAAAATATACTCGGTCTCTTCCTCTCATTCTTCCTTCCAAAATCTGCGGTTCGCCACAAGGGGGCGCGTTTTGGATAGAATTCTCCTGTCTAGAGCGGTGTTCTTTTCCTTTCTGTTTAATGCAGATACTGCAAATACGTTGGGAAGAATCCTATTTGTAGATTTAGGGGTGCGGGGGTAGGTAGGTAGGTAGATATTTTTTCTATAATAATGTTTTATTCTTGCATTCCGACATTTTTCGCTCCTTGCTAGGATTTAGAATGAGTTTTGCAGTTGCAGAAAAACTAGTTTAAATGTTCTGGGGTTGCCACGATCTTTTGCAATTTGTGTCATGAGAAAATAAAAATGCAGATGTCAGTCATATAATTCACCTTATTCCGCCTCTATATTATTTGAGCCCGCCAAAATCCAGCGCCTATGGTCTATTTTGTATTTTTAATACTGGGGGCTGCCTGGATGTTGTATGAACTTTTCCTCCAACAGCTTCGTGGCTTTTTTTGTTTTTTTTTAGGCTCTTCTGTTGGAAACCAGCATTCTGGTGGTTAAGGAGAGTTTTGCCAAGAACTCAGCAGAAGTTGCTATTCCTTAAAAATGAATGCATGTAACCCTGTGTTGTTAATGTTCCTCTTTAATTTATCAGTAGTTAAATTTTAACACTACCTCTTCCTCCCTTTCCATTTCAAGCCTGGTTGCCTAGAGCTTGTCACAACCAAACGAGACAAATGGCTGTTTATAAGCCTGACTTAAAATGCACTTTATAGTTCAATACAGAGGAGCAGTTTGGTGTAATGGTTAAGGTAGAGGGCTAAAAACCAAGAGACTCTGAGTTTTAATCCTGCCTGGGGCATGAAGTCAGCTAGGTCTGGGAGTTGAAGTCCACCAGGCTTAAAGTTGCCAAGGTTGGAGACCCCTGAGCTAGGTTACTTTTTATCTCAGCCCTGGGAAGAAAGCAGGGACAAGCCACTTCTGAAAAATCTTGCCAAGAAAACTGCAGGGATTTGTCCAGCCAAATGCCAGAGTGAACATTGATTCAAAGGAACATACTCACATAGACTAATATAGTTCGGTAGAAGTAAAAAGCCAATTATCCTTAGTTCTTTGCATAGATGTGAAAAATATTGTGCTTTCCCTCCCTGGGTAATGTCTGAATTTGCGAATTGGGGTCCATACTTTCCTTGCAGGACAGGACTGGCTCAAATGATTTTCCACTTTGGGAAAATATATACAAAATAGAGGTTTCCTTAAAATGAAAGAAGGAAGCACAGAAACACTGAATTCAGATTTGGGTTGCCAAATCGAAATCTTACGTCGTGTATGAATGAACATTAATTAACTTTGGGGGCTAAAAATATGAATCAGGAACAGAACGTCATGGATTTTAGCTCAACCTTTTTACAAGTAACGTCAAAGGATTGATTGTGTTTATGACTGTGTAGATGATGCGAGGTAAGATTTTTCTATATTCACAAAAAGTGTAGATATACCGTTCCCACTCATGGAGATGCGTGAGTCCTACTCTCAGCTATGCTTCTCGAACTTGGGGTGGAGACCTTGAGATGTTTGTTTTATAGCCACCCATCTTATCTCGAGGTTGCAGAATTTCAGTTCTACACCCAACATGGTCAGTGATAGGGGGATGCTAGATGATCACAGGTTGCCTCTTTCTGAGTGCTCTTGGCACCCGGTTTGCCAATCCTGGCTGCTTATACAAGGGGATAAAGTTCAATAGTCTTTCCTTGGAATGTGTTCCTTCAGATTATGCTTAGATATCAAACCTAGCTTAGGGTCTTTACAATCATAACAAGAATGAAACAACTCATCCTTTTATGCAAATATAAAATCTCTACTCTGGAAGACCTGTGGTTTTGAATTGTGACCATGCTATTAGTTGAAAACCATAGCGGTCAGTGACTATACTTGTTTCTTCATCAAATACTGGAAAATGTATTTAAATAAGTTCCTCTTGGTGTTTTTTATTTCCCTCTCAGCAACTGTCACCTTCTCATTAATGCTCAGAATCTTTTGCCATGTTGTACTATAAGCAATGATAAATGCACAAGTACATTATGTGACTAGGCTTATAGCAGCAAGCTGTAGTTTTCCTTGGATCCTTGGTTGCTAAGTTGCTTTCCTTTTATTAATAAAAAATGGCTATGAGTATCTGACCTTTAAATCATCAAACTGGACTTTTTCCTTGAATAGTTTGTGTATTTGCTGTAATCCCCATGTGACTTGAGTCAGATTGGGATAAAATGTCAAAAGCTCAGATTTAGGCTGTTGTACTTACTGTATGATAAAATTTCTTCCCAGATGGGAAGAAATATAATGTAGAAAATCTGACTTCGTTAAATTGCTGATTATATGTTGACTAAGGATCTCATTACTCGGTTTATATTGCTTTACCTAAATACAGGTAGTCCTTGATTTAGTTCATTTAGCGAACTTACAGTGGCATTGAAAAAAGTGACTTATGATCATTTTTCACACTTACGACTGTTGCAGCAGCTCCATGGTCATGTGATCAAAATCCAGATGCTTGGCCACTGGTTCATATTTGTGACAGTTGCAGTGCCCCAGGGCCATGTGATCAGTTTTGCAACCTTCATATAACAATTGTGGCAAGAAAAAATGTAAACTTAATAATTGTCTCGCTTAGCAACACAAATATTAGGCTCAATTTTGGTCATAAATCAAGAACTACCTGTATTGCATTCTGAGCAAATTCTGGCACTCACTAATATTTCAAATAGATATTCACCTAATAGCTTCTTTAATACAAAAATACTCTAGGTTGAAAACATTAAGGCTACTTCCTGATAACATGTTTGCTTACAATAAACAAAGTCCCCTTGGCATAATTAGCATTTAGGAATGGAAAAAGGTCTGAAATAAATTTTCCCTGAAGATTTAATTGTTCCTGGTTTTTGTTCAAGTTCATGGCATGTAGGCAGGGCTTCCGCTTAGCACATTTCCCCAGACTTCCGCTAAGTTACAATGCTGTCTTAATTTCATGATTGCTTATAAAAATAATTTTACCCCTTGCTTTCAGAAAGCGATAAAAGAACCTTGATGGCAGCTGTCAGAAACTGATAAAAACAACTCATTATAAGTGAAGCATTACAACAAAACATGCAAACTAAACATAATGGAGGAGCAAAGGAGACATAGGACAAAATATTCAGTTATTGAAACAGATGTAATGCCTGCTATAGTAGAATACTGATTACTGCAGCTCTCATGAGCTGGATGGTAATGAAAGAAATGAGATGCTTGATGCAAAGCTTAATCAGATTTAAGACATCAAGATGTCTTAAAATGACTACTGGTGGTGTGTTGCAGGTTGGATAACTATGATAATTTATAGGTAGTCTTCAACTTACGACCACAATTGAACCCAAAAATTTCCATTGCTAAGCAAGGCAGTTGTTAAGTGAGTTTTGCTCCTTTTTATGACTTTCTTTGTCGCAGTTGTTAAGTGAATCACTGCAGCTGTTACGTTAGTAACACCGTTAAGTAAATCTAATTTCCCCATTGACTTTGCTTGTCAGAAGGTTGCAAAAGGTGATCACATGACCCCAGGATGCTTCAACCATCATAAATACATGCCAACTGCCAAGCATCCAAATTTGGATCACGTGATCACAGGGATGCTGCAATGGTCATAAGTGTGAAAAACGGTTATGTCACTTTTTTTCCAGTGCTGTTGTAACTGAGTTTCCATGTTGGAGAATGGACTTATGCCTCAGTTTTCCCATTCTAGGTCCCACACTGTACCTTAACTGGCCCATCAGATTGACATCACTTTCTAGCTATAATCATTTGGGTCAGAACTTCTCCTCAGCTTGGTCTTGTTATAAAAATGGCAGCCTTTGTGCTTGCTGGTAATCTATTTCCAACTGACCTTGGGAAGTGATGTAGCTTTGCAAATTATGCAGGTAGGGAATCTGTCAAACTTCCTCTTTAATTCAAGGAAGTGGAGGTAGATGGTTTTTTTTCAAAAGGATTTTTTTAAAAAAAAAAAACCCCGTCCCCCCCATTACTTCTTAACTTTCCATCTCTCTCAGAGAGAAGGACTCATTGGTATTTCTGTTTGCCAGTTA